CATGATGTCGAGAAAGAGAAAGAAAAGTCGGGGTAAATAAATGAAATACGATGAGGAATTCTTACCACAGGAAGTCGTTCGTGGATCTGGAGTGCTTTGAGTACGGTTGAAGAGCGATTAATTTGCAAAGAAAGCCGAAAATATGAGTGCAAGAAGAAGATGAAAGAAAAGTAGATCTGAAAAGAAGAACTCTTATTTATACTGAACCTTGGATTCGAAGGCAACCGTTGAGAACCGATGGAAACGGGGGCGCGTGAGTTACACGTTCTAGATCTGCGAGTCGACGCGACTCTTGGAAATCGTGCCTCTTTATAACAGCTACGTGGCCTATTTTAAGTGACCGTTATCCCTATTAATAAAACGGTGCAATTAATTTCAATAAAGCGCACCGTTTCAACTTTTAAGTATCATTTCTACAAGTGTGAAGACATCGGATACAGATGATGGAACCGACATGTCACGTTAATACAGAAATTTAGTTACGTCCTCTTAAAGTTTCAGCATCACTGCCCGTCTTCTGTCCAGACGACCATTAATGCTGGGGGCCACCTTGTTGATATCATTTTCAGTAAGCCAAATTAAGTGACGTTAATCCGCCGATTGGGGTCAGTATGAAGATAATTAAAATTTATACAAGTACGTGGCACTCCTACCGACTTCAAGACGACTGCACGATGAAGGATTCAACAAAAACCGACATCTCCGTTATTTGACCGATATCACATGTCGGTCAACACATGTCGGTCACCACATGTCGGATACAACATATCGGTTATAACTGGATGAACCGATATCTATAACATGCCACCTCAACATTGTAAGGCGGCGACAACTCAGCATAAGTCATCATTACGTTTGTCCAAGTGGCGAGCTATCAAGAGAAGTAGCTAAGAACCGCCTTTGACCTTTCAAATGTAATGATTACTGTACGGATAAATATGGTACATAAGTATAAAAGGAGAAAAACAATTCTCCAGCAGGGGACACACGTACAATAATAATATTCACAAAAAATTCCATCTTCTTTTACAATATGCAAGCTCTTATCGTTGAATATTGAGTTTTACTTTCAATGTACTTCAATTAGGCCGTTGTTAATTCCCGTTTGACAACACACCTATTATTCAGTTTCAATTTTTTAAAGACAACATCAACAAAACTCTTTTTTTTTTTGTTTCAGATAAAAAAAGAAAATCAGGGAGATGAGATCTTAGGATCTCTTTGGTTTGGGAAATTGTAGAGGGTCCTCCCAAACCTCTACAATTCCACACACATACTTTCATTTACACTGGGGGGGCCTATTAGGGTTGGCCTCCTCCACCACAGCAGCTTTACCTTTTCCATCTCCTTTCAGCCTTTTAGAACCATTATCAGAATCAATAACATCCTCCCCAATAGTTTCAAAATTTCTTTTCAGAAGTTGGGAGTCATTTGTTTCAGTGAAAATAATGCCTTTTTTAGAAATCTTCAGTTTATCACTGAGGCTAACTTTAACAGCTCTAGGTTGTCTTTTAAAACCTTTCCTAGCTTTAGGCATTTCAGTAGAAGGTTTAAATTCAGCAATTTTGATTTCAACCAGATCAGTACAATCCACATTGTTAGGGGAGGAAATATTAGAAGAGTCAATTAGCATTTCATTATCCACAACAATAGGACTTAAAGGATTACTGTGAGCAACAGCCACAGCAACACCCCCTTTAGGGATATCAAGAGACTTAACCACTAAGTCTTTAACTCCTCCAGTACCACTTTTGCTAGAGGTACCAACAGAGTGACCTTTACCTTCACTCTCATAAATCTCATGCTCATTAGCCTGAGTTCGAGAGAGTTTAACCTCAGACCCTGATTTCTCCCCAAGACTCGGCCTAGACCCTCTAGAATCCCCTTGACTTAACCCAAAAGTCCTAAGCCAGTCTCCAAATTGCCCTAGTTTTAGCATATTACTATTGATATCTTCTTTTTTTACTGAACAACTTTTATCCCTATGTCTAATTCTTCCACAGTAAAAACAAAAGCTAAGTAAGCCCTCATACCTGAAGTCCACCCAATGAGTCTCCTGTCGTAGAGTAATGTTCATACCACTCAGAATGGGTTCATTCAGATTCTGCTCCACAAGGATTTTCACCACGTGGCCATTGTTGCTGCCAACATTCAGAACTATAGCTTCCCACACTCTTCCTATCGATTTCCCAATCTTCAGGCCTACTTCCGCTGACAGCCAATGGAGAGGTAAATTCAAAATGTGGACCCATAACTTGACCCTCTTCTCCTCCTCTGAGAACCCCATATGGTTAGGATCCCACTGCTTAAGGAGGAGGTATTGACCATCGAAGCTCCACGTTCTGCCCTGAAGAATTTTCTCTTTGTCTTCCTCATTCTGGAACATAAATTGGAACATATTAACCCCTATGTTCCTGATTGTTAATGGAGAGCTGGTAAACCATATTCTGTTCAGAGTTGCCTGGAATCCACCGATATTGACCCTTTTCTCCCCCAAACAGTTTGCCGATCAGACTGAGTTTACACTCTTGAACCCCCGACACTATGTCTTCCTCATCAAGAGTAGTTCTCTTGACTTCTTTCTCCGATAATGCGAACTTTCTTAGTTTATCCACCACTTCCTCCTCCATACTGAACAAACCCCTAACCAACCGACCTTACCTGCAATAGACAAATGAGAAATGCAGAGATAATACTAATAAAGCAACCAAACACCAATAGATCAGAAAAGTATGGACATATTCATGGCACACTAGCAAAACAGAACCATAGCCCTACCCACAGGACAAAACCCGAAAGAATGGAGGCAAAAACCACTGAGAAAACCCTTATCCTAAAAGAGAAACTGTGAAGCTCTACAGAGAGAGACAAAACCCTAATCCTACAAGAGGAACCGTAATTTTCATCATTTACACCATACCATCTATTTTGGGAGAGCCCTTCTCTATTTGGAGTTTTATCGTTCCATTTCTATGGATTATTCCTCTAATCTTATGATTATCTCTAGCTGTATTCTCAGTCGTTTCATTCTTCTTCCCTTCCGTATCTTCTTATCCGATCTTTATTTCTCTAATCTTAACCCTATTTAGGGTTAGTCTTCTAGAATTTTGGGGTTTTTCTGTAATCCCTAATTATATTTCCGCTTTCTTCTGTACTGCAGGTTTCCTTGGATTCGACCCTTTGTGAGTTCTGTTTCCGTTCATCCTACTCATTGGAAGCCATGGATCAAGATATTATTGATAAAATGCAAAGATTCGATCTCTCTGCAAAAGAACATGTTGAAACGCTTGTATCTGATGAAGACATCGAACCTGGGGTCCAGGAGTGTGCTCGTAGCCTTATAAGCCGAATTGTAGGCGAAAAATGGGCAAATCTCGGCGGGCTTAAAACAACCCTAAACTTGATATGGACAACTCGTAAGCCCTTCGCAATCCGTGTTCTGGATGAAAATCTCTTTCAGTTTCTATTTCAGTCGGAGGAAGACAAGCGAAAGGCTTTAATCAGAAAAGCATGGTCTTTCGACGGCCAATATCTACTTCTCAAAGAGTGGTGCAAAGATAGCATCGATTTTACCGCGCATGAGAGAAAATTAGAGCTGCGGGTACATATTCTAAATTTACCTCTCCACTGGATATTGGAGGAAATTAGTGTTAAAGTGGGAAAAATCATTGGGGGTGCCTTATAGACGTGATGGTTCCCGGCCCGGGCAGTTCCCTGAGCAAAATCATATAAATCCTTGTCAAGATTGATGTCGATGAACCAATTCCCGGAAGAACTAAGCTGAAGCTGGGAGATCAAGTCCAGTGGATTGATTTCCATTATGAAAATCTGCAATCTTTCTGTTACTATTGTGGAATTATCGGACATAGCGAAAGGTCATGTGGACGCAAGAAGGATGCTATTACCAGAAATGTGCGTGCTTCACTCAGGGCAGTATGGTGATTGCCTAAAAGCCAGCTTTGGGGGTTATGGGCTTAATGGTGATAGTAAGGAGAGAAAATTTGGCCAGCCTAGTAGCGGAGAGGAGAGCCTGAAGGCAGTAAGCTTAAGAGTGTTGATACAGCTAGAAGTGAGAGCTTGCCTATGGTTGGGGTGGTCGCTGTAAATGGCTCCGAGCCTGTTCCTATTGCTGCTGAATTGTAAGGCCCTAATTTTTATTTACTATTTATGGAGCTCGACTATATTTTCATAAATATTAAGTTTTTAAATTTGATGCATTTATTATATTTATATGCATTAAAATAAATAATTAGTATCAAAGTCTAAGCCATGAATAATTCATTCGACTTTAATTATTAAAGTCGGATTTAGTCCAAGTATCGATTCTAATTTTTAAAACCTAGCCTTGGAATTATCAGAAACCTTATTAAAGCGGACTGTAGCCGAATAACTAATTTATTCGAGCCCAATCACTATCCAACGAGTCCAATTATTCTAGCCGGCCCATTTCAGTAAATTGAGCCATGCTCGATTTTGAAAAATAAGCCCAGTTATTCTAGTAGATTTGACCGACTAATTCAATAAGTCCCAATCCGGTTAATTTCATTAATCGAACATCTAATTCTTTAATCGATATTCACTTTAAAATTGGAGCCCAAGTCAAATTAAATTTACTAGCCCGGTTTTAGATTTTTGAAGCCCGGTTGAATGAAATCCTAAGCCCAATGTTAGGCCCAATATACAAGTGAAACCCTAGCTACCTTACACATATAAATACACATACTTAGCTATTTCTTTCTTCCCCAAAACATCTCATCCGCGCAGCTCTCTCTCACCTCCATCTTCAACCTCCATAGCTCAAAATTTGACCATCTCTACCATTTTCTGGCAAGCCCTCGACGCTGGCGACCACCACCTGCCGTCGACCCGCTGCGACTCGCCAGAAAATTGCGAGCCCAGCCCTGTGCTGCACCTCCCGAGCTCAGCCAGAAAAACGCGAGCCTTTATCAGCACCGACGAGCCCTTCCCGCACAGGTGACCCTAGCACAACCTACGTCGCGTTGTCCCGTTCCAGTTCTGGCGTCCTTGAGCCACGCGCCACCAGCTTCGCCCGTTCAGCTCCGGTTTCAGCCGATTTGCGCGTCGTGCAGCTCGTCTCTGTCATCGAGCCCGCGAATCTGGTCACCCCCTACCATACTGTCGCGTTCCAAGCTCTGCCCAGCCAGCTCCGACATCTGCAACCCCAGCTCGGCCACCATCTCCATTTTTCCGGCGAAACCAGTTTCCTCTCGTCGGAAAAATAGCCCTTCCGAGCTCCAGCAGCTCCCTTTCACGTCCAGCACCTCGGACCCGACCCAAACAGCTCGAGTCCGACCCGGTCAGCAGCTCCACAGCTCCAAGATCTGACCCACGGCCCAAAGATC